AAAATAAACAGAATGTCCGAGGGTCCCCAGGGTCCATTAATCTTTCTTTTTCCTATTACACCATGCTGTAGCTGGCCTGGCATGGTGCCTGGCCATCAACAATGGGTAACCAGTAGATACCCACAACTATGCAGCCTTCACTTTAAAATGTAAAATGTGTCAGCAGCAATTTGGTCATATTTACCACAGCTATATGACATGTTGAGATTCAATAGTGATGTGTGGTTATTGGCTTGCCATGGTAATCGTAGAGCCCCCTTGGGTGAGTTGGGCCTGTGCGTAGATGTTATTTATCATGTGTAAAAGTCAAGGAAAATAATCTCATAGATCATTTTTCACCTCCAATTAACTATAAAGGCATTTGTGTTTCACCAAGTGAGCAGCAGCAGGAATGTGAGAGTCTAGCGAGAACTGCGGGTCACGACTGGGTGTCAAGGCCATTTTTGATATAATAGCTCAAATAAACTTTAGTGGGTGGGAGTTCTCATACTGCCGACACCGTCATGTCAGCACAGCGGACTAAATCAGAGCAGGAATATGATCACAGCAGGCATAACAGAGGCAACAAAAATAGCTTTGATGTGAAATGGAAAAAATTCAAGAAGGCAGCACTCATTGGTCTTTCACTCAGTGGCATATATGGGGGTTAAGTTTTTAAAGGAATAGACACTTTCGGAAATACGCCTATACGCACTGATACTACTGTGAGAGTATATAAATCTGTCAAGGTCTAATTTAAAGCAGTAGTATCACATTTTGGGAAATAAGCTTCTTTGCTCTCTTGAGACTTACACTCACCTAAAGGATTATTAGGAACACCATACTAATACTGTGTTTGACCCCCTTTCGCCTTCAGAACTGCCTTAATTCTACGTGGCATTGATTCAACAAGGTGCTGAAAGCATTCTTTAGAAATGTTGGCCCATATTGATAGGATAGCATCTTGCAGTTGATGGAGATTTGTGGGATGCACATCCAGGGCACGAAGCTCCCGTTCCACCACATCCCAAAGATGCTCTATTGGGTTGAGATCTGGTGACTGTGGGGGCCATTTTAGTACAGTGAACTCATTGTCATGTTCAAGAAACCAATTTGAAATGATTCGAGCTTTGTGACATGGTGCATTATCCTGCTGGAAGTAGCCATCAGAGGATGGGTACATGGTGGCCATAAAGGGATGGACATGGTCAGAAACAATGCTCAGGTAGGCTGTGGCATTTAAACGATGCACAATTGGCACTAAGGGGCCTAAAGTGTGCCAAGAAAACATCCCCCACACCATTACACCACCACCACCAGCCTGCACAGTGGTAACAAGGCATGATGGATCCATGTTCTCATTCTGTTTACACCAAATTCTGACTCTACCATCTGAGAAAGAAATCGAGACTCATCAGACCAGGCAACATTTTTCCAGTCTTCAACTGTCCAATTTTGGTGAGTTCTTGCAAATTGTAGCCTCTTTTTCCTATTTGTAGTGGAGATGAGTGGTACCCGGTGGGGTCTTCTGCTGTTGTAGCCCATCCGCCTCAAGGTTGTGCGTGTTGTGGCTTCACAAATGCTTTGCTGCATACCTCGGTTGTAACGAGTGGTTATTTCAGTCAAAGTTGCTCTTCTATCAGCTTGAATCAGTCGGCCCGTTCTCCTCTGACCTCTAGCATCAACAAGGCATTTTTGCCCACTGGACTGCCGCATACTGGATGTTTTTCCCTTTTCACACCATTCTTTGTAAACCCTAGAAATGGCTGTGCGTGAAAATCCCAGTAACTGAGCAGATTGTGAAATACTCAGACCGGCCCGTCTGGCACCAACAACCATGCCACGCTCAAAATTGCTTAAATCACCTTTCTTTCCCATTCTGACATTCAGTTTGGAGTTCAGGAGATTGTCTTGACCAGGACCACACCCCTAAATGCATTGAAGCAACTGCCATGTGATTGGTTGATTAGATAATTGCATTAATGAGAAATTGAACAGGTGTTCCTAATAATCCTTTAGGTGTAGATCAGATGATTGATACGACTCTCGTCTTACCGCCAGCAGCCCGTTAGTTTCGCTTAGCATAACTCTAACCTCTAAAGCTCACTAATAAACATCTTATATCTTGATTGTTAAATCGTACGAAAGTGAAAAATGGCAATTTGCCATTGTCTGACTGGGTTATGTGCCATGTACTATTCGGAAATAGTTCTGACCCTAAGATGTGAACAGATGAAATTCGGGACATGGGAGTTTGGGGTGGACGTGGCCTCGAACAGTGTCAAAGGACACTGATATGTGTGTCAAAATACCATTTTAAATTAAATATTGTCGTGCTGCAGCGATGTCCTGGCCAACAATTCATATTCTAGAGACTTAAGAAAACATCTTTGTTTGGTACATTTCCCCACAAAAGTCACACCATAATTCATTTTAATATGTTTTTTAATGATAATGATGTAAAAATGATCATTTCCCCTAGTATGCTAAATCATAGCAACTGCAATGTCAGTCAAAATAATTGCAATTATATATATTTTCTAAATCATTCAGCCCTACTTCTGACAGCCTAGCTTTTCCCACTGTTTCCAGTATGCTAAGCTAACCAGTTGCTGGCGAGCTGCATATTTAGAATACAGAGAGTAAGAGTAATATCAATCTTCTCAACTAAATCTAGGCAAGAAACAGAATAAGGGTAAATCCCAAAATGTCAGACTATTCCTTTAACCCTTTTGTTATCAGACCCACACATAGAAACACATTGCAGCATTTGTTATGTGCATACCTAGTATGAGGAGGCCAAACAAACAAATCTGTTCTGGTCCCATTCACGTATCTGCTGACCATGGGCTCTTTAGATTTGTCTGTTGTTTTTTCCCCCGAATTTGCTCTCTGAAAGTCACAGCCAAAAAGTAAGTAAGTTCTTCAAAGAGAACGAATGTTTGAGCTTTTACAGCCAAAGGTTAAAGATCGCCTCTCGTCAGCCGTGAGGTCAATGTACCATCATCCATCTCTGTGAGGGAGTCTCTTACAAGTATATTGCTTCTCCATTGGATGTTTGTACTCCCTGTGGACAGAATAATCTGTGTGTGTGTGTGTGTGTGTGCGTGCGTGCGTGCGTGTGTGTGCGTGCGTGTGCAAGTGTGTGTGTGCGTGAATCTGTGTTTAACAGTGGAATTTCAATGGTTGTCAGGGGAACGCAGGACAATCTCCTGAGACTAGTTGTCACAAAAGTACAGACGCACACACACAGGACACCTCAGCCTAATATCATATGTAACATATATCTAACTTCAGACACTGACTGTGAGTGGTAGGATCATTTTCACCCACTTCTAGCATATAGACATTCAAGAAGACCTTGGTTAATGATGGAGTCTGGAATAGTGTTGTAGATTGTACCGTAGTCCCTCTCTGTGCGCCACCTCTGTCTCTTTCCATGCTGTAACCTTTTCCTTTCCTCTTCCCACACTTCCTGTTGTCCAGATGAAAGGAAAAAAGGAGGTTGATTAAAAGGAAATACTGTATGTATGAAGGCTGTCTCCATTTGGTTTCATGAAATCATGACAATACTGAAAGTGAAGAGGACTGGAGAGGATAGGAGAAGGGGAAGACTTGCCAAAGAGCAGTTAATCCATGAAGCTAGCAGGTACTTGCTACTCTGGGAACAGAAACACAAAAACACACTGTCTTGGGAAGAGATGCATATATGCACAGTGCCATTATGCCCACGAGAGGCACCATTTATCCGATGTAATAAATTGGATTTATAATATTTGCCTAAAATGTTCTCACCCTCAAGGGTCGTTTCCATCACTGCGGGGGCAACTCTGACGCATATCTGACCATTGGTGCAGAAAGCCAACAGTGCATCTATCATCCGACCCAGCAGTGATGTGACACCTAAGTCGTGGTGCCCATATTTTCTTTTACAGTTTAAGCAAAATGCTAACTTTGTGTTCACTTAATCCCGAGTCTATTTTCATAATATTTCATCTTTTCACGGATGTCTTAATAGATTTATACCACTGGGTATTCTAAGAGCAGCCAGTTTTTTCCAGAAAGACAGCCTGAGGTGTGAAGGAAACTCAGACTGCCTGCCAAAGTGGTGCAGTTGAGTGGAACTTACTGGCCCATTTATAATCAACCAATTTGGCTTTTCCTTACTCTACCAGAGGTGAACAAACTCTACTAAATGTCTCCTAAATTATATCCTAATGAGAGTTTTCTCACTGAGCTTCCTACAGTGACTTCATAGATCATTTTTGTTTAACTAGAAACAGTCACTACATCGCTCTCGACAAAGCCTCCAGACTCCATTGATAGAAACACTATTTTTGGATTTAGGGATGTGGCTATCCCCCAACATTTTGTAACATAATAATGCAGGTAACATTTTTATGTTCATTTATTATCAGCAGTTCTCTGGAATCAGACAGAATCGTTCTGTGTGAAAATGCACTCCAAAACCTATTTTACAATAAACTAGGGACTTAACCTCCACCGGATGCTGTCAAATCCTATCAAGTCTATTTTATTTATATAAATACAACAAATCCCTAATTTGCTTCAAAGGGCTTCTCAATCTATACAGGGTATGACACCCTCTAATGTTAGACCCTGGGCTCTGATGGGATCAGATAGGAAAAAAAGCTAATACATTATACACGAGTGGAACTGCTATTTATTAAGTATTAGGTATTGTACTGTTTTTGGATGTTGATACTATACTGTATAGACCACATCTAACTAACTTAATATTATTGTTCACCGGACCAAACCTAAATAAATACCCTGACTATTTGAGTCTATAGTGCAGCAATAAAAAAATCGAGGGATAAATCCACACGATGCACTGTATTTCCTTCTGTTTTAGTAAGATATAGTAGCTATTTATGCATCCCCTCCCCTTCCGTAAAGTCGTTTTTACCAAATAGGCTTCCATAGTTCTTCAGAGAATGGCACTTGTTTGAACCTGTCAGGTTGGACAGGGTTGCAAAGCGCTTGCGGGCTGCCACAGATCTACACAACATCCAGTTTGCATGTGTAGCTACAGTAGCAGGAGTCCTCATATGCATGTGTACCATCCACAGTCCACATTCCTTTAAACCGAGACAGCCGGAGGGGCGTGCACGTTCAGAGTCGGTCTTTTCACACCAGCAGGGACACTGTTCACCCACCGACAGAGAGATTCATCATGGGCTCTGCACTGAATTGCACACCCTTTATGTTGGGTTTTATTTATTTTTCATTACTGTTTGCTTGTGCGTTTTGCGATGCTGATGCAGAAGAAGATGAGCACGCCAAGCACACGTACACGGTGGAAATGTTCAACGAGGCGGTCCCCACTGCACCCCACTTTGTCATGTTTTACGCCCCATGGTAAGTAAACAGGGAGTTACCAAGTTTTTGTTTTCCAGACGACGTCGAATAAATGGACTTGCAATAACCGTTGTGTTTCTTTAACACCGCCTATACACAGCGGGAAAACCCCTCTTAAAGTGGGATTACAGCTAACCGGCAAGTTAACAAACAAGCTAGTTAGCATGCAAGCTAGTTGGCTGCTAGCACCTTGCTTTTGGTCAACCGGTGTGGTTGGCTTAGCTGCTAACTAGCATAGCCAAACAGTTAGCCGGCTGCAGTTCAGCGGACTGGAACACATTTTACAGGGGCCTCGGCGCTAACACTGCTAATAGCTCGGTAGTTGTAAAAATGTAGTAGAAAACTTTCTAGTGAACGTTGAACGGGCAACTTAGACGATTAAACGGAGTCTGCGAGGCTATGCTTATTCACAGTTAGTGCTGGTACTCACAGTCCAAAGTTGTAGTTTGGGAGGCTGCGCTTACGTGGCACGCACTGATTGACTGATGTTATGTCAGCGCTTCCAAAAATGGGGTGCACGGACCCCCCAGAGATCCTCGAGCTGGTCTCATGACTTATTAATAAAAGGAGTAACGTTGGTTAAATTCGTCGCCATCACTTATTTTCATTTCGATAGAGTAACGAAGGAGCAACACAGACAGATATTGGATCTGAAATAAGATTAGACGTTTCAAGTCTTTCTTTCTTATGTTGGATCACTGAAGTGTCAGTTATTTCCCGCGGTTGGTATTCTTGACATGAACTGTGAGAGTTTATACCTGTAGTGTTTTTCTGCTTTCTCTACTCTGCTCTTCTCTGCTTTCTGGCCTCAATGTCCTGTCACTGCAAAAAAGCAGCATCACCAACAGGTTACTCCTCAAATTTCTGACCTTCACTGATACGTCTATTTGCTTTTTCATTCACATCTATTCACATTATTGCGTCTGTATTCATTAGGGGATGGTATGCACAATAGCGAGGGCTACTCTTACTTTTATCAATAAAAGTTGACAAACTAAAGCTCTGCGTGGCTTTCCAACACCATTTTAAACCATCTTTACCACATGTGCAGTAATGCATTTCATTCCACTTTTTCTTTTGTCAGATGATGGCTTGTAACCAGGATCATAGCTTAGTTATTTTGACCATGTGGCAATTTTTGTACCACTGTTGTGTCCAGGTGCGGCCATTGCCAGAGGCTACAGCCGGTATGGAATGAGCTGGCTGACAAATACAACAGCATGGACAACCCCCCGGCGTATGTAGTTAAAGTAGACTGCGTCCCGGACACAAGGTTCTGCTCCAATGACCACGGGGTTAGGGGCTACCCCACGTAAGTACCAGTCACACCGGTTCTTGAATTCACAATTTTACATTCATTCGTTGGCAACGATTAGATCAGTCTAGATATTTCAAAGTATTTGGAGCCAACAACTGAAACAAATTACCTAAAAAAATAACACATTGGCTGTTGCGTGTAGGATAAACCCTTACAACAAGAAGTAAACAGTCCTTTTAATCACTGATTGACAGAGAAGTGACACATTGACCTGCATGTAGTTGAATATTCTGTCATTATCTAAATGACATCCTGCTAAATCTAGGATGTTGCTGACTGCAAACACAGCAGTCACTGGAAAATGATTGACATAGCTTTTATAACAATAATAAAATAAATTATGCGCTTCTAAATGTTTTAATGATGATTTGATAGAATAGTTACAAAAACTGTGTGTTCTTGAAAGGGCATTGGGTTTTAGTAAACTTTATTGTATAAGCTTCAGACTTGAATTACAATTACTGCCATACAGCAATTCATTCAGTAAATTAAAAAAATATATACTATTTTTTTGTTGTTGTGTGTAGGATAAAGTTGTATAGGCCAGATCAGGAGGCAATTAAGTACCAGGGACCCAGAGATCTACAGTCTCTGGAGACCTGGATGCTGAAGACACTCCAGGAGGAGCCTTCGGTGAGTTGTGTGTCAAATTTATTAACCTGTGACCATACAGCGCAAGAACGGCGGTGTTCTTCATAGCTGCTTGTTCTTGTGTGCCCTCCAGGAACCAGAGAGTGAACAGGAGCCTCCTAAAGCCCCAGAGCCCAAACAGGGCATGTATGAGCTCACTGCTCTCAACTTTAAGGACCACATAGCCAAAGGTAAAGATCTAGTAGAACATTGATGTCATGAAAGCAGATGAATAGTCAAATTCATCTTGCGTGTTTATGCAGCTGCATCCTGTCTGAAACTGATAAATTGCTTCTGTGCCTTTCAGTTGTACTTTCAGTTTTCAGCCACACTAAGTAGTGTTTCTAGAGCCCTCGTTAGAGAATGGAAACACTTCATTGCCTTGATTGACATAACGTGACATTTCAACGCGAGTACCTGAGCCACAATCCACAACGTCAGTCAGCACGAACCAACTGCGCACCACTTGTCTCCTGTCACCTCACGTTTCTGGATTTTCATATGACAACTGCAAAAATAAACTGTGCTCACAATAATCGTCTCGTTGAAATTGTGGCTCTTAAGCTGTGCCGAAGTTGAAATGTTTTGGTTTTGAAGAAAAATAAATGATTTCTTGTTTTGAGATGAAAAAACAGGACAGGAGGTGACATAGGCATTTAAAAAACAGTGTTCATTGGTCCCACCTTTGCCTCTTGGCTGCAATAAACGTGTAATTGGTTGCACATAATCTCTGTGTTAGAGAGGTGTATATTTTCATGTACAGCAGACTGTGTTAAGCTTGAACTTTTTACATTGCTCCATTAATTTAAAAATCAACACATAAACTTGAACTGAAGAGTTTACAGAAGTGTGTGTGTGTCTGTGTCTATACACACACACACACACTCTGCAAGGCATTTTACTTTCTACTTATTGTATTTGTTTAATTTTCTTGCTAGTTATCTGCATTTTTTTTTTTTTAACACTGCTTTTCTCTTCTTACTTCAGGCGCCCATTTTGTTAAGTTCTTTGCCCCATGGTGCGGCCACTGCAAAGCCATGGCCCCGACCTGGGAGCAGCTGGCCACCACATTTGAGCACTCTGATGACGTCAAGATAGGAAAGGTGGGTCCTTCAGATTGTGTACAGGATAATTGTAATTAGTTATTAAAACACGAAAAAAGAAGATTGCTGTTTTTCTTTTGTTTGTTTTTTACCCATCCAACAATATGAGCTTCCTATGTGAAACTTGATGTCTTTGGCTAAGGCAGCTAAAGCAGCATCACAGTATGAACTGTTGTCCAACTGTTATTGCCATGTTGACGCCGCGCTTCATTTGCTGTCTCGATCCTGTTACTTAACAGGATGCTGGTCACATGAGAAGCCACCTGTTTGTGCACTGGACTTAAAACAAATACATTTAAGCAACATTTGCAAGGGCAATGTTTACATTGACATTTCATTCTAGTTTACTAACCCATGCTCATATTCTTCTGATCTAGGTGGACTGTACACAGCACTACGAGGTGTGCTCTGAGAACGGTGTACGGGGATATCCCACACTGTTGTTCTTCTACAACGGACAGAAGGTATGCAAGACGTTTTGGACTGCTACAGACTTTCCATTCCAAATGATTTCTGCATGTGCAGCCACTCTGCTCGCTTATTGGCCACCTTTGGACCGGCTGCCACTGCGGGCGTCACGTTTCTCCTCAACACCTTCTGAGTTTCACTGCAAACTGTAACCGCCTCCATGTCATTACATCATACTGGGATGATTAAATGCATAAACAAATAGTAAAAATAACTGGCATGTTACGCACAGCAACCATGATAAAATTTTACATTGGTGCCGCTCAAGGAGTTAAACCATGATTGACATTGAGCAATCAACGTTTTGCTTCAGCTAAAACTACTTTCGGTTATTTTATATATTCTATGTGTTGTGTTTGTGGTGTGTGAAGTGTTCTCTGGGATTATTGTTGAGGTCCAAAAAAATGTATTGATGTGACAATGGCATGATTCACTATGCTAAGAAAAGGTTAAAACCACCTCCACAGTTATGGTGATAGCAGTGAGGTATTCTTGTGCTTTTTTGTAGACAGAACAGTACAAAGGAAAACGAGACCTGGACTCTTTCAAAGACTTTGTGGACAACCAGCTAAAGGCAGTCGTCGGTCAGGAGCAAGAACAGGAACCACATGAGGAACAAAAGGGAACTGAGATCCCTGCTGCTGAGCCAGCCGAAGAGGAAGTAAAGGTGAGTGCAACAACAAAAAGAACAAATGTCAGACAATTATCCCTGTTTTTTTCATATGTCTTTCTGTATTTCCTGCTTTTTGTCCTAATGGATCCATCAGCCCATGTCTTTGTGTAGTTGAAAGGGTTAGCATGCATTTTAGTGACCTGTTTAAGATCAGCACACTTTAATCTAATATCAGAGCGTCTCTCCTCTCTACAGTCCAGCGTGTTGACCCTGACAGAGGACAACTTTGACGAGACCGTGGCCAAGGGCCTCACCTTCATCAAATTCTACGCTCCATGGTAAGATTATAATATTTGGAACACGTTACATTTAAATCACACTGCTATTAAACATATGGTTTAATAGTTGAATCCATAAGTGTCCCGATAGGTAAGTTTGAGTTTGTTGATTTCTCAAGTATGTTTGAAACACGACTCTTTGCCTTCTTTATTTGGACAGGCAATATTTAATAAGATAAAAATAATGTCACCTCATGGACTTTAAGGGGCTCTGTAGTTTTATTATTTATAATGTTTAACAAGCTGTTCCTAGTTCAGCTCCAGCATGGAGCACTTCCATATCAACATGCATAACCTTAGTTTGAACCTAGCTTTATGTATGACTGTGCTGCATCATTTGTGGAAGTATAAGCAACACATTATGTTACACAAAAAATACATGAGTTGACTCAAATTACTTTTGTACAGTTCTTTAGGTACGTGCAAAAGAGTTTGTAGAAACACTAGTTTTCAGAGAGTTTTAGTGAAACGCTGCCATTACAGTCTAAGTAATGTAATTGCTGTCTTATCCTGCTGTCAACTATAGGTGTGGCCACTGCAAGAACCTCGCTCCAACATGGGAGGATCTTTCCAAGAAGGAGTTTTCTGGCCTCACTGACGTCAAGATAGCCAAAGTGGACTGCACTATTGAACGCACACTCTGCAACAAGTACTCTGTAAGTACCTCTGTGTTATCCACAATTGATACTATAAGACCATCTAAACTGAACTTGTAGCACTCCATCATACGCTTCTGTCAGCTTTTGTTTATTTCTTAAGATTCTTAAGATGGAGGTTTTATCACAGAGCCATAAAACAATGCGAGTGCCACATACTTTATTAGATGCTACAGACTGTAATCCTAAAGCAGGTTTAACATGTTTTGGATGAAGCAATGCAGGCACACACACTATCAGCTTTAATTGTATGTAGAGTCTGAATGATATTGCTATGAGGAAAGCACAGGGCATTATCTAATATCGACAAGTAGGATTGGGCCGATAGATGATACCATCGTCCATTGTCGATGACTGACATTTGGTCAATGGTTGAGCAGGCATTGTGATTGTAAAACCCCGTCAAAAAAAATACCTCCATGTGAAAGTAGGTTTAATCACCACGGACATTATTGTAAAATGAGACAGAACTCATCATACGTATTTTCCCACCCGCGATCCGTTATCACGGCAGCAGGTGAGCCACTTGTAGGCTTTTTAATGACGCAGCCTATCAAACAACTGAAACCAACCTGTGTGTTCACTGCTGCTTTACCTGGTCTGTGCTTGTGAAATATGCACCGCGACTTGTAAAGTCACAGGCTACCAAGTTTTTAACCGAGCGAAGTCTATGCAAGTGAACACATGCACATAAGACGACCTGGCCCATGCCGATGTTTTAGTGTAGATGTCGTCCTACCCTATTGTCAAGGTTTTAGAATTAAAGGGTGTGAAGATGTTACACACTGACCTCTTGTCTCAGTTAATCAATTTGCATCTTTAAAAAGTAAGTCCTTGAAATTCCCATTACTATTTAGATTTGTTTGCAATTTTAAAATCAAATGTGTAATCATTAAGCCATGTTGTCACTGTATACAGTGTACATTGTACTGCTTGCAGAATTGCTGCGTCAGAGTTCAAGATCCACAGTTCAGTTATCATTCTAAAGACCTGAGTGATGATTCACTGTGATTACAGTGCCCTTTTTTGTTGTGTTTGTATATCTAAGATGTTCTACACATAGACCACACATCTGGAACTCTCACTGGTTTTCCCACTGTCCCTTTAGTTTGGCAATGTCTGTTAGTCTGCAACATTTCTCAAAATCATGGTTTTATTTTCATGAGGTCTGGTGGACAGACCAAGAAAGAGCTTGGGGAGGAGGGGTTTAGAAAGCAATGTGGGATTTCCACCACAAGACAGTTAGTTTCAACTCAGGCATCATTTAATTAGATTTACTGTTACATATTTTCACACTGCATGTGGCATGCAGAACAAACCGTTTTGAAAGGTGAAAAAGCCCATGGAATAAGCCCGTGCTGCTGTTCTCCCCTCTTTATTCAGGTTCGAGGTTACCCCACTTTGATCATGTTCAGGGCGGGGGAGCAGGGTGACGAGCATCATGGCGGGCGGGACCTGGACAGCTTGCACAGCTTCGTGATGAGGCAGGCGAGGGACGAGCTGTAGAAACAGTCACGTCAGTGCTCAGTTTTCCACCACTCTGCTCGCCCACACTGCATAACTGGCCAGTAGGACACCGCTCTCTCTCTCTCTCTCTCCTACAGTAGCCAAACCTCTCTCTATCTCTTATCTCTCTCCACTCGGGTTCTCTTCAGAAAGGAGTCAGCCAACGACAGACTGATGCAGTCTGTTCTTTCTCCGGTGTTCACGGACACAATGTTTCAGTAGACTGTTTGGGATGTGAATGTATTTCTCATTGCTGTTGCCCAACCTTCACTCTCCTAATATGGAGACTACTATCGTATTGGTTGGATCTACAAATGAAATGATGTCTGACAACTTCTTTGCAAGCACTGCTCAATCAATCAAAACCAGGATTCCTGGCACAATTTAAAAACAGTTGTTTATTAAAAGGGTCGCACTAAAGGACTGTCTGTTTTTGTTTCTGAAAAACTTCTGTAGCCATTTGACTTTCTTTTTTTAAAAGCAAAATTTTATACATGGGATCTGTTGTGAAATTATAGCCATTAATGTTACCGTCATTCAGAGGTTTGTGAAGGTTGTTGTCACCCAAATGTGAAGTTGAGTGTTAAGCTGAGGGTACTTCCTATCCATGCCGGTGATGGCCTATCTGACTTAACTCTCAGGGAAACGCCCACGCAGACTAGAAGAAGTTGTGACGGAGGCGTCGTCGTTATTACAGGAGTCTTATAAAGGCACGTGGATAGCCCCCATTTTGTGACTCCTGTGATCTCAATCAACCATCCCTCGCCACTCCTGCTAGCATTCAGAGCCTGAGGCCTAGACCATGTTGCCCCATATCTCCATTACTGAATATCTTTAGAGTTACTACTGCTTCAGTTTATTCTGAAACACTTCTCCATTTTATCCTCAGCTATAGAAAAAAAATAAAATAAAAATAAAGTGAATGTAAAGCGTTTGTGCTACAAGTCTCAGGCCAGGCCCACGTTCAAAGGATTTAGGAACCGGTACGTGGAGCTGGAGCTGTCACTTGGAGCCGTCACTTGGAGCCAGCATTGAGGGTAAAAGAGAATCTTTTTAGGATCTTTTGAAGTTGATCTCTACTTTGGTTGTGGCACTGAACGGTCATTCACAGCTCTCTTTTCATCAGAGCTTTTACAAGCTTTACCTCTGTGGTTGGGACCTCTTTGAAATAAAACTTGGTTGGAACTGAAACAAACATTCACCGCAGCTCAGGGTCAGAGCCAGCACGCATCACCTTTCTGACAATGATTGTGATCTTACCTTTTTAGTGAGAAGCAGCTGCATCTTGGCTCTATATAATTAGCTTTTCCTGGTTTCAAGTAATATTTCTAGATGTAATTTTCTGACAGTGGAAATCCGTGCTGCGAAGCCTACATCTTTAGGCTAAAGTCGAAGGGGATAGTCTGAGCTACTTCGAGAGTGGGGTGATCTGGTTGTGACGTACAGCTACACCAGCCAGTAGAATGCAGAATGGTTTTAATTTCTCACTCTGACCATAACCACTAATGAGAGGAATTATTCAAACTGAAAACTTCTTTAGTCACTGTATACCCCACACATCCAACAGTCAGAGGCCAAGAAAATACAGAACAGACCCGGTTTTAATAGCATTTGCAGTTTTGCCAATACAAGTTGGTCTTTTCAGCGCATTTTCCTGTAACTGACTGACTTCATCCACCTGTTAGGCCATGCCCATTACACTGCAAATGCTCTTTGACCCAGGTTATGTGAAAGGTATGTGCTGCATGATGCAGGGCACCATGCATAGTCTAACCCAGGTACACAAACAGTCAGAGACAGCAGTTTTTATGTCAGTAAAAGTTTTTATGGATAGCACATGGTCTAAGGAACTCCAGTGACAGAAGTATTTTTTTCCTTGTGAGTCATGGGTTGTGCACTACCCATGGATTTTTGTACAAAAAGAGTGAATAATGGCAAGTTATTGTAACATGAGGTTTCATAATAAAAAAATTTCAAAAATAAGTTGGTATTTCCATTTTGTTCTTGCATCTGTCTGTTAATAAGGTATGTGATTTTTCTTTTCGATAAAAGGTGCAATAAATAAGCTGAGAATGTACAAGTATTTACAAAAACAGTCTAAACATGATCACAAATGTAAACAGCAGCTTACCAGAGGTATATTTTGTAATTTATGACTGGTTAGGCACATAAGGTATTTAGATTCTTATTAGTTTTTCATTAAAATACGTTCTCTAAAACAAATCCATGTCATTCAAAGCTCACAGTAACGTTCAATTGGAAAGACGTTGCCACCAGACACACATCTCCACATAATTCTACCCTCAGGGTTGAAAAAGCAAAGGGCTAATTTCAGAGAGCTGGCACAAAAGCCGTTCGGCCGGCTTTTTTTGACTCGCTAAATGTTTTTCCACAATCTCTTGATGGGTTGTCAGGGGTGGAAACGTTTGTTAACTTTGCGAGTGCAGCAACATGGAAATGGCCGTTTGCGGTATGTCTGAGGGATAAGGCTGTATTCTTCAGTTCTTTGGAGCAAAACACCAGTTTAGCCACAACATGCATCATGTTGAACCAGTCTGGTGAATCGCAGCGCAGCGTGAGCCTGGCAAATATTGACACGGAGGGGATATTTGGAGAAGTTCACTACTAAAATAGCCTGCGGTCACTTTGGTTCAGTCCATAATATATTTTAGGAGGGCAAATATGGCTTGAGAAGAAAATACATTAGGAAAGAGGAAGGAAATATGAATCTACTAAATCCAATGTATCATTCATTTAGTAATAGATTGTTTGAGTTAACATTTGCACTGCAAAGGAAACTAGGTGTGTATTTTCCCATCTAGCTGGTCATATGACCAGTCACTGATGACTGTTTTTACGGTTAAGACTGAGTTAACTCTCCAGGGTCATGCGCTGTAGAGAAGTTGGTAATCAGTTCATTCAGTGATTATTGGAGCCTCTTCTGAGAACTCATACACCGTTTTGTTTTTTTGTCAGAGAAGGGAAGGAAAGCAGCGCTCGAACTGGTCCCACAACAGTTCAGTATTCCCCCCGCCCTGTCAGTGAGGGAGAGGGTGCAGTAGCCTCTGAGGCGTTCATACACGCACTTCCATAAAACACATAATATACAAACTTAAACAGTCCATCCTCCCCACACACACACAGTCATTCAGCAGACCCATGAAGGGAAAAATCCACTCCACAGTTGATAGAGAAGGTGACAACTTGGTGGCTCAACACTGGAGTGGAGTGAAGTTGCCTTTAGGTGACACCCGCATGGTGTCATTTTTACAATGGTCCTCTCTCAGTTTGGTGAAGACGAATGTTCATGTTAATAGATGGATGTTTTGAACTTTCCCAAGATTTTTGGAATAGAACATGCTAATGATCTTTCAGGGTGGACGTCCCTTGCAAGCTGAGGATTTGGGCGGGAAGCTGGTGTCTAGTTGAGGTCAGCATCACCCAGGAGTTACTGGTGCAGTTGCAGCCCTTTACCAACCCAACTTTCAATTGAGCATTATCTTCCCTCAATGTCTGTCAGTGGCAGCCACAGGCCCGTACCACCATGTTCTTGTATTTCTTCAGTATGACGTTGGAGTTGTCGTCAAAGTAGAGCACTGAGATGGCATGGAGCTTGGTGGGGGCGCAGCATGGCTTCGGTACGTTCTCGGGGTTCATCAGGTGCACCTGAAAATCAAAGGCAATACTTTAAGTGTCAATCAGCAATTATCATACAGCACTGTTTCCATCAGACTAATGGGTCCACATTCAGAATAGACTGTACGTTGTATTGCGTAAATGCAGCACACTATTTATGGACTGAGGGTCTAAGCTTATAACACTTGTGAAAGTGGTTATTATTTTTAATAAGAGATAGGCTTAAAAGGGCCCTCAGCAATTCAACATAGCTTTCACTTTCAACTCATGACAGACTTTAAAACAAAACTGAAGCAGTAGAAGCCAAGATATCCTGACTTTATGTCCTGAGTACAGGTCATTTCCAGAATGCAACTGAATAGCATCTTCTTCTAGACTCTCCCTGTTTGCTAAATGTCTGTGTATTTCAAAGACCACGGCACAAGTTCGTAACACAGGTTTTCTATTAAAAATGTTAAATCTCAAGCCTAATTCGAGATGAACCCTATGACATCACTTTGACATATTCAGGGTTATCTTGTCTGACTTTAAAACATCCCCACAAAAAGACATAACTATTTTCACATGTACTCTTCATGCCAAGTTAACTTATCTTCATGTGTAATATCAGAGGAGTGCCCCTTTAATTAACTGTGTTTCACAATAACTGGAATACATAGATCTTTAAAGCCCCAAAAGACCACACTTTAAGACTCACACACACACTGTGATAAACACATAGCCAGTGAAAATACATAAAACAAATATGTGAACTCATCTGCTGTTGTAGTTATCACTTGAAGTAATTTAAAAAGGATTATTATTATTACAGTTGCAAATGCTGTTATATTTTATTGCATCATTGCTGCAATGTTCCCAAATCCCTGAGAGGAAATATACGAGGACAAAAACTTGGCAGCTTCAACTTAAAATTAAAGCTGCAAGCAGCGTTGGGTGGGCCCTGGCATGTGAAGCACATCAAGGTGTGAGGCGGCCACGTTGCAGATTCTGGAGCTCTGCCAGTGTGGCTGTGAATTTGCCACGTTGCTTTGGGCGCTGCACAAAGGTGTTAATCATCACTTCCTGTGTCCCCTTTGTGGCGCTACATAGCACTTCGCACTACGACTATAACTGAACATGTAGATGTGTTGATGACGGGATTGTTATCAAGCACGTAAACTTTGGTGCAGATGTGAGCATGTACACTGAAGTTATAACAACTTCCGATTTTGGACGCCACGCCACGGACACGCTCATTGACGAAAACTCACAGGTAGCACAACTTTTCATCGTCAATGCATTTAGAAGGCACAGCAGAAAATTGAAGTCGATCAGACTAATTCCCTAGGAGTTCGTTATAGTACAGAGTGTGTAAATCGCCAAAAATGACCATTTAATCCAAAATGGCCGACTTCCTGTGTTTTTTTTCAATGATTGGGTTAAAATTTAACAGACTTATTGCATTTTGGTGTTTGGACCAAATAATTGCTCCCAGATATGTTACCGGATCCATCACAGGGATATCACATATAGAAGAGACATTACACTCTTTAACTGCCATTAGTTCACATTGTCGTAAGTTTAACTTTAAACCAGACACCAGTGAGAAACCATGAATTAAATCTAATACAGGAGGAATCTGGGAGGCATTTCTCAGGAAAACGGTGCCAGCTGACTAATGTGATGGCCCCTCTGCAGGGTTCATACTGCTGTTGGTGTGCTTTCTGTCTCCAGGGCTGCAGACCTGGGCCCGTATTTATCAAGCTTCTCAGAATTACTCATAAGAACACTGCTAAGAACTGACTTAAGAGTAAAAAAAATCTTGGCTCAAAGCTGTGCTTAAAAGTTAGTTATCAAGCATCATAGTCCTAATTTGAGTGAAGTGTAGGACTAAATCTTAAGTGTCAGTCTTAGTGCTGATTTACGACAATTTGCTGTGCTGCAGACAGGATTTTGGATGACGATGTAGCCAAGGACCAATCACTGAAGAGATTTCCTTATTTAAGAAAATTCTCAGATAAATTCACATTGAATGGTGAAATTCCTAAGAGGAGTTTATATTCAACACATGTTTAACAATAAAGAATTTTCAAGATAATACATTATGATATAGGCTGACACATTAATAAATGAAAGATAAAAAAGTTTATCTTTATATGAGCGCCATCAAATGCGCCTAGTGCTCCTGTATTGCCAGCTTTTTGCATGAACTGTGTTTGCTTCCGTCGGATTACGGGGGGTGTCGATTAAACGCGTGACAATGTGTGGAGCTGTAGTCTAAGTTCTATAATTTTTTCCATGACTATTCAGCTTATTGATGGTTGTGACGGGCCAAAATCATCAGCATTGCTGCGTTTGTCCTGTGGCAAATAAACGAAGCGTTATCACCACCTTCAATTTAACTGAAAACGATTACTGTATGCCTGCGCTGTCCGACCCCGTCTCATGAACTGCGCATCGTCAAATAATTCAGAAACATTCTTCCTCTCCTGAAAGATGCATGTCTCTGTCTCCACAGCGCCATCACAAGCCCCTACTGGCAGCTCCTAACCACTTGAGAGACCCCTCGAGCTGTCTTAAATAACTGGGAGAGTAAGAGTGATTCTTAGCTTTGAGAAATTTGATAACTTGCTTTTATTCTGAAGTTTAAAAGTAGGAGTAAATTTCATGAATTCTCAGCACTTAAGACTAAAATGGCACTTTGAGAAGCTTGATAAATACCGGCCCTGATTGGCAGGGTAATCAGCGGCTTGGGACACACCTGGGCCCGGTGTGCCCCATGCAAATAAGCCAGAGCAGCAGTCAGTCTTGGGTTGGACCTCCTCATCTCACAACTTCCTTTGTTTGTTTGATTTCTTGTCTTTGTTTTTACAGCACAACATCCATGCAACACATTTTCACTCATCCACCCCCTACACTATTGACTTTACATATTCTTCCCACTCATTGGTTTCGCTTATTTTCTTATTAATAAAATCACTTTGTTATTTAGTTTACCCGTGTGTCTCCTGTTTTTGTCCAGTCCGTGAGCCGGGCTGTGACACTAATAATATGTCTATTAGCTATGGTTATCCCTTCCAAGGCACTGTTGGAGACATGAAGAGCGAGGAGTTGAGAGGCGATCATAAACAAATAAGGAGAAATTGATGAGCATCCTTGTTTGATGCCACGTGACACACTGAACCTAGGTTAAGTGCCAAATTTCAGTTTGACTCCAGTACTGCTATTCTTATGTAGCGTTCTGACAGTTCTACATAAACCATCACCAAATCCAAGTTTTCTTTAGGGCTTTTAAAATAAAACTGTGTTCAAGTGAATCAAACGCCTTGTAAAAATCAAGAAACAGTAGAAAGCTATGGTCATTAACAAGCTCATTGTAAGCAAATGCATCCAGTACTAATCTAATGTTGTTAGCAATATGTCTTTTCTTCATGAACCCGGACTGTGATTCATCTATTACAGAATCCAACACTTCTGTAAGTGTATTAGCAAAACTAACGGCAAAAACTTTATAATCATTGTTTACTCTTTGTTCGGTTTTGGAATCAGAGTGATGACAGCATACTATTTAGAGGGCATAAGTGTGTTCACCCTGTGATGGATTGACGACCTGTACAGGGTGTACCCCACCTTTCGCCCGATGTCACCATTTAACAATGGATGGATGGAAGTGTGTTCACACTACGTAGCGGAGAGGCCAACAACAGAACATCTTTTACAATTTTTGTACACTGAAAAATTTATGGCGAATTGAAAATGATGAAAACGTTTTCAGAGTAGAGAAGCTCCATGGGGGAAGCTAACGAGCCAATCATGCTCACAGAGCCCTCTGGTACTAGCCAAAGCAGCAGCTGATTCCAGCAATTACGGCAAAGCACAGCTGTATGATGAGTTTAAATGTTTGTACTGCTGTTATTCTCTCATTACATTTGAATTTTCAGATATTGTATTTTTTTCAAGATTATATTTTTCTTTGAGATGATCAAGAGCACCTAATTTTGGATGGCGACCATTTGTCTTTTAAGAAAAAAATATATGTATATATAATATATATAGTTTTAGAAGAGACATCTTGAAAGAATAGCCTTTTCCAAAATATAATATAGTTATGATTATAATAGATAGAGTTGAAAGGCCCTTCAAATGTTATTTCTCTACATTTTTATCAAATTAATGAAGGTAACCGGATGGACATTACATTGATAGGCTTGACCGGAGTAACAGGACTGACAGGACACACCTTATAGTAAACATCCATTCTGTAATAAAACATATAATTGAATTAACACCTCTATGATGGTGTTAACAAATCCTGAACAATATAAGCAACATAAAAGCAGAATTTATGGCTGAGCTGGTGTATTTATTACATTAGATTGTATAGGTGTACCTAATAAACTGGGCACTGCAGACACAAGTCAAGGTTCTCCCTGGAGCTCCTGTGACGTAGAGTAGAACAGTAAAAATTGATTCCATTTCATTTCTTAGAGGTTTTTCCAAAGAGGTGAGGTTTTACAATGAGGGTTACTCTGGTGCTGATTGCTGCTGTCCGGTCTGTGTGGGACATGGGCTCAAGGAGAGGGCAAAGAAAGTGACCAAGGTTTACAGATAAGGAATATCTGGGATGAGTTTAGAGCTCTCAAAGACATGGTGGTGGAGCAGAAGGTGGAACTGAGGAACACCAAAGCTGAACTACAAATCCAGAGAGACAAAGTGGCTGCTTTAGAGAAGGAGAACACAGGTAAGAAATCAGACAACTGTTCATGCTGGGGATGTAACAGTGAATTCTGACAATTACTTTCTCGTGTAATCCTTTGGTCAGTTTGCTTCTTTTATCCAACCAACAGTCCAAAACAACAAAACAAAATTGTTGCAGAAAAAATTTCTGGTGATCAACTAATCCATTTATTGACAAATTGTTTCAGCTCTAGATTAGGCTAAAAGCCAAGTAAAGTAATTGTAATCGTTAGTAGTGATATTGTATGTAAAGGGAAAGTTAACTTAGAATTTGTTGCTTTTCCACATTTAAGCATTGCAGCAATTTAAATATTAATCTGTTAATTATTAATTTTTGGAAATTATGAGAATTTTAAAACAACAGATCATGCTCACAGTCTCCCTAATCTATTTTAAAATGGCTGTAGTATAAAGTGTGGTGCAACTTACTATTAACATCCAACGAAGGTTAAAATGAAGGGCAACTGGACTTGGTTGAAGCTACTGGCTTCAACCAAGTCCAGTTGCCCTTCATTTTAACCTTCGTTGGATAACTATGACCTGGATGACTGAGAATCTTCATAGACACCTTACTATTAACACTTTTCCCAGAAAAAAACTCTACAATACCAGACACCTGATCGGATAAGTCAATGAAGAAAAGCATTTCATGGACCTTTTATAAGTTGAATATACAGTCATATCAGCAGCAATAGACAACAACAACAAACCAGATATTTAGTTTTATGAAGATGTTGTGGAATGCTACTTTAGACAGCCTTATTTAAAGAACTTCATCCTCAGACTCTATGGTATTTCAGTGATGAGCTCCAGACTGACAGCCACTGAAAACAAGGTGACAGCAATTACAGCGGAGCTGGAAGCGATTAAGTGTGAACAGCAGCTGCAGAAGAAAAAAGTGGAGGATGCTGAGAGACTGATTTCTGGTACGTAATTACCAAAATCACGGACTTAGTGAATCTGGAAAAATCTTGAAAGAGCAGTTGAAAAATGACTGTCTTTCTTGCTTCTAGCACAAGCAGCAGAACTGGCAGCCCTGGTTTCAAGAGTGACCACCAGTGAGAAGGAGGCACAGGAGCAGAGGAAGGAGGTGACAGCTCTCAAGAAAGAGCTGGATATTTCTCAGACTCAACTACAGCTCACCAAGAACAAATTAGATGAGATAGAAAGGACAATTGCAGGTATTTTGACCAGAAATACATACTTACATAGGCTACATACAAAGGTTAATAGGGGTGTGCAAAAAAATCGATACAGCAATATATCGTAATTTTTATATTCAGGATATACTACATTGATTTCCAGCTCTAAAAATCGATGTTAAAAAAATAAATAAATCACATTTTAAACGGAGTAGATTAGATAGATTCCTGTAGATGTCGCAGCACGGCTTTAGTTTCCCCCAACTTGCTGGGTGCCAACCAGAGCACCACTTTCAGTAGTGAAAGCTGGAAGCGGCGTGGCAGACTCAGCTGGCAAAATTACTTCGGCTCCTTCACAAGATAAAGCCGATGTGTGGGTGCACTGCGGTTTTCAAAACAAACCAGGGAGCATGTACTTGGATAAAACAAACGCAATATGCAAGCTTTGTCACGCTGCTATAAAATATTCAGGTAACACCAGTGGCGTCGTTAGCCATAGACCCGGATGTTTTTTGAAAAGCGCCGGATCTCAGAAGGGTTTTTAAAAATCAAACAACAAAAGGCCGAAAATGTAACTTTACTCGCTTAACTAACGTTACATGCGCAGGAGCTAGCGAGAGCGAGAGAGATTATTGTTATTATTTATTCTCCTGCAAATTAGGGAGAATAAGATGATCCAGCTGTAGCTCTGTGTCTGTCCTCTCTGCTCCACCTGAAGCTGTGAGCTGCACTTTATCAGAGGCGCTGAAACAAACTTGTGTGTGGATTTGTGGCGAGGTTAATCACCTGATAGGCAGAGGACGCATTATACATATTTCATTTAAAAATCTATGTTTTGTCCCCCCCTCTTTCCTAATGTAAAGTTTTATTTCGCATTGCCTTCCTGGCTCAGGCGATTTCGGAGCTGGCTCATATGTGAGGCGGTTTACTAAGTGACCAGTCAATCACACACACTCCATCATCATAATGTATAGAAATGTTGAGGGAGAAAAAAAAAATGGTTGCTCGAGGCCGGTGCAGCTTCTTCTTTTGTGCTGCTGTTACTTATAGCTGAAGGCAGCAGTGATGATGTCTGCAGCAGGAGAGGGTACATCTAATGTAGGAGTACTCTTAATTTCGCTACATTTTCCATTCATACCTTTTATAACTTAAGCAGTCTGTAATCTGCATTTTGCTTCATTAACCGAAATGAGCTGTCATCCAGGCTGTGCGCGCAGTTACGCAGTAAAGCGCTGGTCGGGCACTTGTCACAGTCACAGAGCTGGGCAGATGCAGACATTAAGAAAATCAGGCAAATATCTTTTCAGTTTAAGGCTTTATTGTTCTACTAATACAACTGAAATATAGTGAGCGCACACCGTGGCACTGCTGACCTGTTGGAAAGTAGTCTGCGTCGCTCTTTAACAAGCCGGCAAGTGAAATACTTTCACTTTCCATTAACGGCGCATTAGAAGCGTCTTTAGTCTCTGCAGAGCAAATGAAGACTACACACTGTAAGATCTATGTCAGACGAGCACTGCATTGATTGAGATATATTAAAAGTTTCCTGTTGTTGAACAGGTCATGGCTTTGGACATTAGCCTATTTCCTATCTTTAATACACATCGGCTACTGTTTGTTTTATAGCGATGCCCGACGGTGAGTCCACAAACAGAGTGTTGCTGGTGAAACTAATCTTTCACTCAGCAGCTACCAGCTGTTATTTTATTTTCAGATGCACAAAGAGAGAGAGAGAGAGAGAGAGAGAGAGAGAGAGAGAGAGAGAGAGAGAGAGAGAGAATATGGTGGATAAAACAGTGCTGTTGGGTTTTATGCATGACGCACAGCTTCCTCTATATGCAGATTTACCTGCTTCAGCAAGAGCTGCTCTCCTGTTACTGCCACAATAATTTTTTGCGTTGTGAAGATCATTTAGATGCTTCAGGAATAATCACATTGTATTGGCAGTCTGTGCTATTGCAGAACAAGTGGTTAGGTTGGCTACATCTCCCTAATAAAAGGCACAGGCAACAAAAGTTGGCTGGGCAGCAAAAGTGATATTTTAAAGTGATCTTATAAACACCTTCATGGAGATTTAAAAAGGAAAGTAATTGTAGAAATAGCTAAATTACAGATAATCAGCTTCTTCACTGCATTTGCAGGAATATTTTAATGGGCTACTGATAGTCTGTCTTGACCTTTCCTCATGTGAACACATAGGGGCTGTGATCCTGCACAACAAAACATGCAATAATTAAATCCCCACACTACCATGAATAGTAGTGGTGCAAGGGGTTGCAGAATCCGTGGTATGGATCCTTTCCACACGGTGCGGCACGCAGAATGTAAAGTTTATGATTTATCCTGTTTGACCTCTCAAAATATCCTTTATTCTGTAAATGTCAGAGAACCCAGTTAGATTCTGAATGTGCAGAACTTTGAACATGAGCAGAAAACCTGCTGAAACACAGGAGCTATTAAAGTCCAGGAGTTTATAACTGAATTAAAATGATTTAATTTATTATTGATGGAGGTAAAAAGGTACCACATGCACATTTAAAGAGGTTACCTCAATCAGTCACGCCTGCATGTGTGTTCATTCAGCAGTGATGATATTAAAAGTTGATCCACAGGAGAAACATATCTGAAAGCAACCCAGAATGCCTGAGAGCTGCTCTGCATTATATTCTGTTACAGTTTTAGATTTTAAATTGTTTTATGATACCTTTATTAAATCAGAAAAACTCTTTTTCCAAGAGTGTCCTGGCCAAGGCAGGCAGTAGTACAATTGCACATTAAATAAATAATCAGTTACAAGGTCATAAAATATCAAAATGTTCTTAAATACTCACCACAATTCAGCAACACCTGAATTTTGTGTGTCCCTTTACATAAATAATTTCCACAATAAATTGATGCAGAAAGGGCAGAAATTGGTGCCGAAAAAACACTCACAATTTTCTGGTGGAGTACCCCCAGACCCCCCTGTTCATACTGTCACAGTTTTGTTGTTATGTTATTATAAATAGACACATGACATTACAATTTAGCAACATCTAAATGAGACAGTTAATAGTGTTTTTCTAAGTTTTTTTGTGCCGTATAAGTAGAGGATGTTTACTGTTGCTTCACTGCTTTACAGACTTAACTATGGAGGTCGGGTGGAGGTAAATTATTATGTGAAGATATGAAGTTTTGTGGGCTGGGCTAAGCCCCCAATGTTTCAAGATCCTAAAAACGCCCCTGGGTAACACAACCAACTTATGAACGCACGTCGTCAGATGCAATGCAGACATGACGTTGAAAGAGAAGCAACCGAAACCTGGCAACCACAAGAAGACTACACTGAATAACAAACTTACATCTAACTCAGCTCGAGCTCTAAAAATAATGGAGTTGTTGGTGCATTTCATTTGTCATAATTTGCGCCCCTACAGTGTCGGTGAAAACTGTGGCTTAAGGTCTATGGTAAACACAATGGAGCCACGCTATGTGATCCCGACTCACAAACACATTACCGAGTTAGCTGTGCCCAGGATGTATGAAGAGGTGAAGCAAGCAGAAAGAGTGGCCCTTACATGCAACGGCTGGACATCAAGGGCGACTGAATCTTATGTTACGATCACGGCACACCACATCAATGAGGACTGGGAACTGATTTCTCATGTTTTGTAGATGAGGGCAATGCATGAGAGCCAGAAACTATTAGCTACCAGATGGAATAGTGCACATGACATGCTGCAGCGCTTGCTAGAACAGCAGCCAGCCATCCATGCTGCCCTCCTCTCAGCTGAGGTGAGGAAGAAAGGGAAGGACATCTGCACCCTCAGTGAGGCAGACATAACAGCTGCTGAAGAAGTTGTCACAGCTATGAAGCCCATGAAGGTAGCTACACTAGTCATGTCAGAAGAGACCACTCAAACACTTTCAGTTGTAGCACCACTCCTTGCCCAGCTGATCCATGATCTACAAGACAGCCCAACTGATTCCAACTTGACAAAGGTAATCAAATCTGTCATGTGCCAGGATCTCAACAAGAGGTACTTGAACAAGGAGACGCTTTATGTGGCCACAGCAATGGATCTGAGGTTTAAGGCTCTGCCCTTCCTTTCAAAAGACCAACGCCAGGACATCTATGCTATTATCCTTGCAGAAGCTACAAGGAGCAAAGCATTACAGGTAAGATAAACAATGCCATATACTAAAACATTATACTGTTGTCAAGATTTATCAACATGGTGGTGCCAGAAGAGGATGAGGACGGCAATCAAGGTCCTGTGCAAAAAGACATTTCTGCTGTACCATCCAAGAGATCCAGGTATTCTCTAGCTGACCTACTTGGTCCAACATATGCTATAGACCTGCAAAGAAATGGAAAACTGCAGAGGACCAGGCAAAGGAGGAGATTTCAAGATACAAAGAGGAAGCTCCCCTGCCGCTTGGTGTTGTCAATCCACTGGACTGGTGGAAAGGGAATCAGAGCAAGTATCCTTTCTTGTCACACATGGCAAAGAAATACTTGTGTATCCCGGGGAATAGTATGTCTTCAGAGAGAGTGCGCTCTACTGCAGGGGATATTATTACAGCTCAGAGGAGTGCACTTACCCCATGTCAAAATAGTCAAAATAGGCCTGCCATGGAATCAATGCTTTTAACAAGGGTTCATATAAATGTTTAATGGACACAATGGTCTATTTTGTTATGGCAGCTAAAAAATAAATTGGAAAGGAAATTTTGTATTACATTGTTTTGACTGAATTTTTCTGCTGATTTATGTGATGATGTGATCTGATGTAAGAGTACTCAGGTGGCACACCGTAACTAGTATTTTATTTTGTTTTTGCATTTTTAGTTAACTGTGTGGAATATCGCGATATTTATCGTATCGTGATGTATTGTGATGTAATCGTATCGTGATGCATATCGTATCGTGAAGTCCTTGCCAATACCCACCCCTAAACATTAATATATAGAACTGTTTTTATTGCTTTCCCTTGAAACTAACTATTTGCTTCTATCCTGTATTATTGCTATGCTCAAAGAAACTCCGAAGCTGGCTTTCACTGCTGGTTTGACCACTTCAGGAAAGATTGGACCATTCAACACTGAAACTCCACTCATCTATAGTAGAGTCTTCACAAATATCGGCGGGGCTTACAACCCAACTACAGGTAAGAATTACCAAAAGAATTGTAATATTGTCTGAGAGATGGACAACCTCTCTGATACTGTTGCAGGTATCTTCACAGCACCTGTCAAAGGAGTCTACTACATAAGATTCACAGCCTTCAACAACAAGAACGGAGAATGGATGGCAGTAAATTTAAACCATAATAGTGAAAGAATTTTGCATAATTCGGAGTTAGCTAATGGTCATTCTTTCATTGCAAATGCATTAATTCTACAGCTGGAAGAGGGAAGTGTCGTCTATTTGCGTCTCCAACAAAACTGTGGCCTATATGATGATGCTAGCTCCTGGAACACCTTCAGTGGTTTCCTGCTGTTCCCTCTGTAACTTTCAGATATAGTTTGCCTAACTTCACCGAGGCCTTGAGGGTTTTTTGCACTTTCCAGTGGTCTATTACGTTACATTTAATTTATACTTTGTGATTACTGTCCTTGGTTAACTCAATTAGATTAAGTCAATTATATACACTCAACAAAGAGGTTCACTCTTATATGTGAAAATCACTGATTAAATAAACTAATGTGCATGACCACTAACATGCTATACTGTTCTTAACTGGCCCCAGTGTATAGCTATAGATTAACAATTTGCATTATATGCAAATTTTAAATAATAAATGAAGGGAGCATTTAACTACAATACCGCTGAACAAATTGGTCGAACTGATTTTCCTTGCAAACTCTGCACCAGCCAATACAGGACAATCAACTGGAACTACTCACTGGTGTAAGACAGAATGGAATGAAAAGTGTTTGTTAGGAGTGGGAATCTCTGGGTACCTCACAGTTCTATTCGATTTCGATTCGGAGCGCTGCGCTGCGATTATAAAACGATTATTGATGCATCTTGATGCATAATTTTTTTCTATACAGGATCTCTGGATAATTACTAAGCATTAATTTTGCACATTAAAATCCAAACGAAAAATCTCCTAATTAGCTTAAAAGGACTAGTTGGCATCCCTAATTTACTTCATTAACCTCATCTCCATGGTCCCTCATTTCTTTAACAACCAGTTGTCAGACTGTACACCACTAGTCAAAGCTTGTACCTGATGTTCTACCATGGACAAGTAGGTAAGTTAGTACTAGTGACATAGCCTACAGCTGAGCTAATTAATATTAGGCGACTTCTTTACTAATTTAGCTAAGGTTACATAGCAGCCAAAAACGTGCTGTACAGGGAGATGTTAGCTAGCATTAACCGCCTTCACTGTTCCAGTTGTCTGGGAAACTAAAGACTTTTATTAATGGACACACTGTGACCGACACTGCACGTTTACTACCTCACTCTCTAATTCGCTCTTCCTCACACACAGGATACACAGAGAGCTCGCCAAGCGTTGAGTGTTACCGTGCTCGCACTTCCGTGAGTATCGCCTTTTGATCAACATTGCACCCACGCGCACAAAATTACATTATTAATGAACATTTAAATAATTGATTTTTTGACATTTGTTAATCGAGTCAGAATCTTCCACGTCTGCATCTAGATGCATCTAAGAATTGATTTTTCCTCCCACCCCTAGAGTTTGTAGGGTTAATAATGATAAAAGCCATGACATTGACAGTAACATCATCATAACATCCAAGTTCATTTATTGATTGTATTCTATTGTGAGTCTGTCAGAAATGGCTCACAAAAGAATGTCACAAATAAAGCATTTGCTTTGTTTACCAGTAATGCTGCTGCTTTGTTGACTTCAGCCTGAGGAAGTTTTCCGGAAAGCTTTAACCAAATCTTGCCGATGCACCTTTGGGAGTAAATTATGTATTTATATAACTGTTTTTAAAAAATGGGCCAACGACCTAACGACCATAAAGCATGGACAGCGGCCCATTGGGTAATTTTCTATACTGACACAGGGCCGGCCCAATCACATCTCTTACTTGCACCAAGAAATGTTAATTAACAAATAAAAATGCTATGAAAAAGGTGTATTTGCACAGTAAGCCTGCAATGCAATTGTAACTTAGGCTTAAAACAATAATGAGCTACTGATTACAGCATTATATTCTATTATATTTTTATATTCTGAATTGTCACCAGGCACCTGAATTTTGTGCTTCCCTGGTGCAGAAAATGTCCCAGTCCCAGTCCAGCTCTGGCTGCAGGGACCAATGAGAAGATGGAACGATATGTTTCCCACCATTTAAAACACAATATATAGCTAGAATATAGAATAGAATATTATCTATGAAAACAGCCCCCTTGCCCATTTTGCTCGAAGTGGTCTTCAAGACTAAATTAATACATTATAATCATTATTTGAAAAAATGTAAAAAGGAAATTTTTAACCCCTGTGCCTAAAAGTATATTGTACTCTACTTGCTTCATCAACCTAAATTAATAAAAATATTTTGTGATTACATAAAGAAACAAACTGTACCACAATATAATACATTTTGCATTCAACTGGGTGTTTGTGTACTTTGTGTGAGAAATGAGTGTGTGTGTGTGTGTGTGTGTGTGTGTGTGTGTGTGTGTGTGTGTGTTGGTAGACTTTTTATGATTATGTAAACATCAGGCTGAGAGCTGACAATTTCAGGGGGCTTTATCTTTTTTAAACAGAGTTGCTGCCCGTTAAAATGTCTACTTCTTGCATACATGCAAAAACGTACAGACAAGTGCGTACAGTATTGACACAAGGTGTTCTTTGCACCTGTTACTATGGTAACACCAGATATGACTTCAACACATGACATCCTTCACACAGAAGGGTCCAAAAAGTATAGTTTTTCATTATTAACAACAACACAGTGAAATCTAAAATGTACCAACATAGTGAACGGTTACTGTTGCTGTAAACTGAACACTGGAAGAAGTGTCAAAGAAACATAAAGGGTAAAGTTTTGCACTGTTGCACATTTTGGACCAGTCACAAAGGACTTAAACATCACTTCTTGTCAAGGACGTGCACAGACATTTTGGTGGGCAGGGGCTCAAGTGAAAAAAAGGGCATTTTTTTTAAACAAGACAAATATATTAACTCAACAACATTTTTACTTTTCTACAAAATAATCAGTTCACACAGAGACCACGGTCTTCTTTAGTATTCACTAGATTTATCACAGGAGCAGGCGACAGAAACGCAAACTATGCCACAATGTGCATGTTTTCTATGCTACTAGTTTCAAGTATATATTTATGACATAGTTTCATTAATAATTTGTTTTATTTCACAGGGCAATAAATTGTTTCAATTCTTTTGGTGCTAGTGAAATACATAACACTTCACATAAATCTTCACTCTAAACTGTGGCATTGGGCTGTAGGCATAATTAAAATAAATGTTATTTAAATACTTTTACTTTTTTTTTCACAAGCAAGATGCCAAATAAAGTAAAGTAGAGTAAAGATAACCTTCAGCTTCACACAGCCAAGCAACAGCATACTGAATTGCCTGAATACATTAATATATTGATCGAATACTTCATTATTGTTGCTATTATATTACATTTACCATGCACATACACAATTACTGATGGTGACATGGACTTAGTTTCACATTTGAGGGAGGGCTGTCTGTATTATATAAGGATCTATCAGCATACAACAAACTAATAGAAAGGAGAGTTATTAGATGAGGAGCCTACAATCAAAACTATGAAGTTACTCTTTAAGGTACTTCTTTCATAGTGGTCAATTTTGGGACTTTGGTCTATTTTGTTTCCATGTCTTCTTTTACACTAATGGAAATAAAACTTCAAGAATACACATTTAGATGGTGTTGGTTTTAAGCCTAATAACCTCGGTCTATTTGCATCTGTAGATTTCTTCTATATTAACCAAAACAAGCTAATCTGCATATTTACAAAGCACATTTCAGAGGAAAATAGCCAACTCTTGATGCAAGTCATTTACTGGGGAAGTTCTGTGGTGATATGCTTTAGTTATTTTCTTTATCCCATTCACCTGCAGTGACTTGTCAAACGCTTAATTTGCATATCAATATGGCGATTGTGATGACGTTATTAGACACAAATGTTACTGCGTTCACCTGTAGTGTCTCCATCAGTACATTAGGTTGTATGGCCATGAGATATTGCCTTAGATAAACTTCAGCTAACTTATTACATTAGCTCAGCTCATGAGTCATGCGTTAGCAAGACATAGGCCTAGGTCTATATTGTCTTTTGTTTAATTAGCGTGTAAACTGGAGGCACTGGTAGTTTAGTCTTTTGTTCATCACCACTTACCTCCACACAAGCCAAGTCTGTGTGCAGCGCTCTGGTTGCGAGTTGAGATCGGTTGAGATGCGGAGCGAGCGAGAGAGAGAGAGAGAGAGAGAGAGGGTCTCATCTTCCGACGTGATAGCCTATTTAGATTTTTTCCCCCAATAAATATATTTGTTTGACAGGGTATCTGTTGCAAACAGGAATAAATATACTGCATAGGCCTATTCATTTATTTTTTAAAAAAGCATCCCAGAAAAAAGGGCACTTTCTCTTGAAGAAGAAAAAGGGCAGGTGCTGAAGCCCCTTTTTGTGTCTATGTGTGCACGTGCCTGCTTCTTGTATCCCCTTGGTGGCGCTTGACAACACCCGCTAATTTGTTTATTTATTTTATTTATAGAGTTTAAGTTTACAGAGACAGTGCATGTTGATAAACATTTCTGTAGCTTGGCTAATGTTCGACTGTAGTCCCTGGGCAGATGTTATCACAACTACATAAAATACACTAAAACAGGAACAACAGTACTCATACATATAACAAGATACCTTTCACAAGGTCACGTAAAATACTTTAAAGCAAGGACAACAATTAAAAAAAACAAAATAAAAATGCAGCAGTAGGTGAAGTGTGGACCACGCTGTGAAAATCAAAAAAAATTCTGTCAGAAACGGCTTACTTCCTGTTACCAGTGGGTGGCGCTATGACGTTAAGTGAATATTTGCATGTAGACTGAAGTTATAATAACTGTTTTAAGGTGATCCGTCGATCTTTGACACCATGTCACGGACACGCCCATCGACCAAAACTCACAGATAGCACAACTTTTCATCCTCAATGTGTTTAGAATGCACAGTAGATGCACAATTTAGAATAATTCCCTAGGAGGAGTTTGTTAAAGTACGGACCTTGTAAAAGGCCATAAATGGGCTGTAATTGCACATTCAAATCAAAATGGCTGACTTCCTGTGTGATTTCAGGTATTGGTCCAAGAGGCTTTTTTGTGCGTCTTGGGATGATACATGTACCACAAAATTATCGTGCATCTTTGTGATTCAGTGTGCAGGGCATGCATCTTTGAAGGACCACTTCCTAATGCCAGCAGGTGGCGCTATGAGGTTGAGTGAATTTTGACCAGTAGTTGTGTTGAGGGCGTGACCCTTATCAAATGTGTGAAATTTGGTAGAGATATGAGCATATAAAGCGAAGTTACAACAACTTCCTGTGTCATGGCGAAACATTAAACTTTGACGCCACGCCAAGGACAAGCTGTTATCCGAAAACTCACAAGATTCACAACATAGCGTGATCAATGTCTTAAGGCTGTTCTGAGACTGTTTTGAAGCAGGTGAGGCAAATATGTAAGGAGTAGTACATAACAGAATAAAACATGACACTTCCTGTTGCCAGCAGGTGGCGCTATGACATTGTGTATTTTTTGGCATATGGATGTGTTCAGGGTGGGACTCTCATCCTACATGTAAAGTTTGGTGCAGATATGATCATGTACACTGAAGTTATAACAACTTTCTGTTTCATGGTGAATCGTTGATTTTGGACACCACGTTGATTTGGGCACCCAAAACTGAAAAAAAAAAATCCCTTCAGTTTCAATAGGGACCTCACACAGTTCGTGCTCGGGCCCTAGAAATAACCCCTTCAGTTTCAATAATAATCGAACTAATCCTTA